GATATAAAGAATATTGACGTCTATCTGTGTGAAAAGATGAATATGTGTATATACGTATGTAGGAGAAGGGATATAGGAAAGGAAGAGGAGGACAGAGAGGTCGGTGGGGGGGGGGAGAGGGAGGAGAAGGACAGCAGGTAGAGAAATATGAGGAAGAGGAGTAGGAGGAGGAATTTCTATCCGATGATGATTACGAGAGAAAGAGAATGTGAAGAATGAGTGGGTGGAGGTGGGGTTGGGGGAGTGAAAGATAAAAAAAGGAAAGTATGTATTAAAAAAGAAAAAAAAAAGAAAAGAAAAAGGGGAAACGAGACACGGACAAAAAAGAAGAAGAAGAAGGAGAAAAAAAAAACAAGAAAAATATTAAAAGTGTATAAAAGTGGCGCATACTTCTCTCCTCTCCTCTTGCCCGTGCATATTGCGTAAGTTGAGTATCTTCCATCTCTCTCTCTCTCTCTCTCTCTTTCTACCCCCATCCCCTCACTGCTCGGATTCATGTACGAGCCCACGTACGTAACATTACGTGGCTAATCGATATTTTCCATTTTCTTCTCGTTCCTTGCTGGCCGACCACCCCCCTTACCCCTCTCATTCTCTCACTCACTCTGTCTATCTCTTTTCCCCTCCTCCTCGTACCCCTTACTCCTCATTTTGTTATCCTCTTCATCCCCTCTCATACGCCCTACACCGTCTCGTACCTGTTTACCTCCTCCCCTGCCCCCCCCCCTCATCACCCATATCATTCTCTCTCTCTCTTTTTCTATATTCTTTTTTGTTTTTTATTTTTTTCTATTGCCTCTTTTTTTTTCCTTTTTTTGTCGACCGTCCCACGGGCATAGAAAAACGTGCACTATCTCCCAGGTACCTCTTGCCTGTCTTACCGTTTACTATATGCGCAATCTGAAACGATTATTAACATATGAACTCTCTCTCTCTCTCTCTCTCTTTCTCTCATTTTTTGTTACTTTCTCTTTTTCTTTCTTTCTTTTGCTACTCTTTTGTCTTTCCATGAATATACCATTACGAGAGGGATAAGTATGATTGGAAATGTTTCATATAATACGGGTGTACTGTTCTGAGAGTGTATTATTTTATACTTTTTTTTCTTGTATTTTCTTTTTCTTCAATTATATCATCATTTCTCTCTCTCTCTCTCTCTCTCTCTATTTTTTTTCCTTCTTTTTATTTAACGTTTCGCGGATAAGAGGTTGAAAGTGTTTATCGGGTTTCTTTTTTTTTTTTAAATACTAATGAAAGTAACTCTTACAATTATTGCGAACGATCATCTCGTGTTTTAACGATGTGGGAAGAAAAAAAAGAGAGAAAGAACGAAAAATAATAGAGAAAAATAACAAAAAAGAAAAAAGATAAAATCAATTAAACGAAAATAGAAAAAGAAACGAGACAATCCGCCTACCTATCGCCCCCTCCACCCCATACCCCACCCCAACCATTTTTGTAAAGACAATTTTTATTTACGAAATAATTTTGTCCTGATCAAACAACGAATAATAAAAGTAAAAAAAAGAAGTTCGGATATTAGCCACAGTCGGTATTTCTTAAGTCAGTCACATCTTATTCTCTTTTGTAATAGGAGGGTATCGGCTAAGAAACGTTTCAAAAGGAATCGACTGTTCTTATAGAGTTCGGTCCGTTTACTTGCGTTCAACTTAGCGGTGTAGTTTCCCCTTTCCCCTTCGCTCCCTCCCACCACGAAACTTCCCCCTATGCCAGGACAAACGAAATTAAAACGTCGAGCTAAGAAGTTTCTTCCTCAGTTTCTAAAGTTTAAAAGGGGGGACAAATAAAAAAGGAAAGAGAGAAAGTAAGAAAGAAAGAAAGAAAGAAAGAAAAAAATAACAAAAAGGATAGGCGGGGGATTAGAAGGGCAAAGGGACGACAGAGTGGCGGCAGAAGGATAGGGGACGGAAAAGGGGGTCGTAGGGATGAACAGATAGGTAGGAAGAAGGTAGATAAAGTCAATGTAAGAAAGAAGGGGGATGGTATACTGAGGGAACCAGAATAAAATTGTTTCGAAGTTTAGTTGTGTGTATATTTATATATAAATGTGTGTGTGCGTATTTGTGTGATGTTGAACGTTAGCAAAAAGTTAGTAGGGAAGTAAGGTGGGGGTATTCTTCCCTCCCCCTCTTCCGTATCTTTCCACAAATGTGCTACGAATGGCTCGCGGCAGAAGAAGGAAGAAACTTGACATTTGTAACCCCCGGGCCTGCATTATTAAGTCCTTTGCAGTGAGTGTGCAAAAGGGGACCCACGGAAGCACGTGAATGATGCCGCCCGAGTCGAAAGCTTTCTGAATAAGGGTTGGAAAAAGGGTAGGATGGATGGTTGTGGGCGGAGAGGAGGGTGGAGGGTGAAAACCGGCACACCAGTTTTAGCCCCGAAGACTCGTAAAAGGCATCCCGAATGAAATAACTTCTAAATTCTTGTTAACGGATAATTCCTTGAAAGTATGCACCCACCTATAAAGGTATCCGTTAGATCTCTTCCCTCTTCTTCATTCCACTTGTCTCTTTGAGCCTTGTTTTTCTTCTCCTTTTATTTATTACTTCTTTTATTTTTTTTGTTTTTTTTTTTTTATTTCTTTGTATTCTTATTTCTTATTCCCTTTTTGTCGGTTTGCAAATTGAAATTATTATTGGACCAGTTTAATAACGTTATCGATCGTATTTTTATATGTTTGAGATTAATAAAGGTATATTTGTTTTTTGATATTGGTGGTAATATTTTATTATGAAAAATTATTATTTATGTTTAATAATTTGTATTGGAATATTGGATTAGTAACAGTCGTTATTAGAGATAACATTATTGATCAGTTTTTACTGAAACTTTTATTTTTGTCTGTTTTCTTTAATTGTTAAAGTATTTTGTCTTATGATAGGAACTAAATTTAATGAGGAAACTAGGGCGATCGATTTCTGTTTCAGTTATATAATAAAAAATAGATTTAGATAAAGTATTGAATTATTTCAACGGTTAAGAATCTACATTTGACATATCATTATTGGTTTAAATCCGAATAAATACAATTTTTAAGATTAGCATAATAATATAATTATTTATAATTAAGGGTTAAATTTAATAACAATTTTTCCGTGTGATCATTTATACAATGAATATTATTTAAATGGGTATCATTATTTTTTGACAAATGTATAAAAATGTTTAACAGTTAATTCACATTATTTAAAACATTTTTTATATTATGTATATTAAAACTTCTTCTTTTTTGTCATTATAATAAATTTTAATGATGAAATTTAACAGGGAACTTGGACATGAAAGAAGTAGAACTATGTTTGATTTAGTTGGACGTTTC